CAAACTGGTTAACCAAACCAATTGGAGTTTCCCCTAAACCGGATTAGGGTTCCTGAAAACAGNAACAACNAGCCGACTTNGAAANCACGCTGAGAACGGANCGTACCTNGNAATCATGATCGGAAATATGATCTGGAATCGTGAGACCGAGACCTTTCCAACGCTATATAGATCGCCTCCTAATACCTTCTGGTTCGACAGAAAAACTCCCACGAAGTGGACTGATTGAGATCCAATTCTGCACGAATCTCTCTCGGAAAAACAACCATAACTCTCAGAATACTAATCCAATTGACAAACGGATTTCGCTCAAAGCTAGATATGAGAGTGGAGAACTTATCCTAGAAGTTTCACTGCAATCCGACCTAATTAGCATGTCATTTTCTCTATTCTTCTAGAACGGCCAGAACAGTCATCATCTTCTTTATAGACACGGCGGTTCATCTCCTTCTCCTTTTCTCTCCTCTTCCAATTGCCCCCTTTTAAACACGAGCCCTAGGGTTCTCTTAACCCAAACCAGCCAAACCGGTGATTAAATCGAACCAACCGGTTCAAATCAAGCTTTCAAAATTCTTAATTTTGGTTCACGGGCGTTACATTCTCACAGATCGATTCTGGAACGCATCGCAACGATCTCCTGCACGAAATCCACCAAAAATAGCACGAAATCCAACCAAACAACACAACAATCGTATCCTATCAATTCTTTTACCCAAATAAGCCATGGTCACGCACTCACCTTGGATCTAGAAGGGAAAAATTGATGAAAAAATCATTGTGGAGGTCGAAACCAACTCAATTGAATTTGTCAAGGGTTTTTAAGGGAAACAAGATCTCTGGGAAAGAATCACAAGAACAACCAAAAATAAAGACAAAAACACGAAAATAGCGTTAAGAAAGCTTTATTGATTTGATGCTAAGTGTTTTTGCCAGAAAGTTGCGGATCCTTTTTTCAAGGGGAGTACAAGAGTATTTATATAAGTCTAAGTCGGCTAGATCTAACAAGTAAGAGATAAGGAAGTTTTCTGTATTTCTCAGGATTTCCTATTTCTCGTAGTCGGTGCTTGCCATATGCTTCGTTATCTTGGGCCTGACCTTGCCACCTCGCCATGTTGCCATCCTGCCAACTTAGGCTTGTGTTCTCGGCCCACCTTCACGTAGTCGGCCCAAATAAGCTAATATGGGTCGACTTCGTCGAGATTTTTACTGCGTCGGTGTCACGATCGAGGGTTAGTGGTCGGTGCAACTGGTGGTTGGCAGTGGCAGTAGTCGGCAGAAGAGGAGAAGTCGACAAGAGGCAGAAATAGTCGGCGGATCATGCCAGTGTTAGACAAAATGAGTTACTCTGGCAAGTTGTCCAGGTCTTCAGGGTGAACTAGGCACCTTCCCATTTATATTCATTTCTATACTTAGCCATTTTACAAGAGAAAACTGTCGGAGGGAGTTTTGACCCCAACAGTTAGCCCCCCAGCAGGGTCGTGTCCGTTAGGAAAGTGCCGAGCTTAAAGACGACTCAAGGCGAGATCGATGCTACCAGACTTAGCTTCGTGTTAAAATGGCGTCAAGTCAAGATGTTCTCGTTCCCGATTATTCCGCCGAGCTAGCATGCCTCTGTAAGCATCGTAGCTTGACTTACGCTTGCTTCTCCGTTTCGACTAGCCTTGTATTTACTGAGATGTTTCCGTTTTGTTAACTTTGCCAAGTTTACATGCTTCAGGAAATGCTTAACCCGACAATGCGTGCGTGTTTTTTTTTTTTTTAAATAAATTCGAGCTTGTTCTGTCAAAGCTATATGAATTGGCGATTTATGCATTGCATTGTTTTGTATTCCGTCATTGCCAAGTATACATGTTTCAGAATGCCTAACTTGACAATGTCGTATACTTAGTAAAAATTTCTATTTCTTCTGGAAATCGAAACTTTGCGTTTTCCTGTTTCGTGTAGGAAACGAAATGTCAAATCTCCAATTCCCGAGATATAAAGATATCATTATGATTTTTGGACTATACAAGTCTCTAACCTTCTTCCCTTCCCTTCTGGCGA